AATAACTCAACCTTTGTGAGATTTTGTGTGGTGTTTGTGTTCTGATTACTCTCTCTTCCTGGAATGCACTGCCTGACTCATACATCATCATTCACCCTTGATCTAGTAACTTCGTTCTACCCTCCTTATCTTTCCTCCATTGAGGACAATGTCGTGCTTAAGTGTGGGGGGGTGTTCGATTATGTATGCGGGTGAATGTTTGGTTGTTTGTGTGCTTGGAGCCTAGTTCACTGTCCAAATTTTTAAATTTGAGGGCTCCAAGTATGTGTTTCCTTGCAAATTGCCTGCTCAGTATGCTTTGAATTGACAGTCTCTATAGTAATGTGAAACCTAGGGAGGTAGTGTAGCACTATGGAGGATGTTGAAGTATAAGATTTTTCCTATCTAGCTCTCTGTTGTGCCAGTTGATTTTGTGAATTAGTGGAGCTAAGACCGTTGAATTCATGTGGTAATGGTGACTCTGTTTGGATTATGTTATGGACTCGTGTGTCGAACAGGGTGCTCATATGGAAAATGGGAAGCAGTTGGTCCTCCATGTCAAAATCATTAAATCTTAAACATGGGGTAAGCCCAACGTGTGCGGCACCGTTCATTGCACAAAATCGGGTTTTGGAAGAGATTTTAGTGATCCTTAGTGGGGTACTCCTACAAGGTGAAGCTAAGTTGTCTCTAGTACAAGTAAAACTTCCACCCGTTGAACGGTTGCCTACTTGAGGATGTGTTTTTAAGGGCACGGATAGAGCTTCCGACCCCCCTTAATTTCATTGACCCTCCACACGAGTTGAGGAAAAGGAGTTAAAAGAAGAACTCTGGCGAGCTCCAGTGTACAGAAATTGCTCTTGCTCGACTAATAAGGGTCGACCTTGCAAAAGACTGCAGTTGGAACCCCACCAAATGAAAGAAAAAATGTAAATGAAAGTGAGAAAAAGGGGTTCCAACGGTGAAATGAAGTGAAAGAGCACCCCGGTACAACGAATCCTTGGTTGTGAATGGTGTGAGTCCCTTTATCCATGAACTGACTGTCTTACTTCTACTTTTTCTCATGATCCTGGCTTGAGTCTAGTACTCGCATTGAGAGAGATAGGGAACGTCTTAGAAGACCAGTTGACCTCGTAAGCTGCTATATGATCTAGGAAATCCTCTACCAACGATCAGGGTTGTATGTTGCTATAGAGCTCTGGAGAGCTGCATTGGTTTGAGTTAGGTTTGCTTGGGGACAAGCAAACAGTTAAGTGTGGGGGGATTTGATGACTCGGTATTTGCACATGTTTTCCCCTTTGTTTCTTTATTGTTTGAGCTTGAATTATCGTGTATTTGGCCTATTTTACACTAGGTTGTGTTCCTTTGTCACATTTCAGGTCCTAGCACATAAAGTGAAGCATAGGCGCAAGTTTCAAGTCAACCAGAGATCAATTGACGATTCGGGAGAAGAAACTCGGGTATGACCTGAAGAAGAATGGATTTATACCTCACTTTATGGACAAATAATCATGCAATCTTGTCATGAAAATAAAGAGGACGAGACTACAAGCGTCTGAGATCAAACGGCGACTCATTCGGAGTCCGGACGAGGGAGAAACGAAGCATTAAACAGAGGCTGAGCAAGCCACACGGGCACAACCCACACGGCCGTGTGACCTGGCCATGTGGCCGTGTGGAAATCACCGAGCCTTCACACGGGCAGCTGGGAAAGCCACACGGCCGTGTGGCCTGGCCGTGTGAGTCGGGAATTGCTGTTTAAAACCCGATTTTCAGCAAAAGGAAAGGGGGAGAGCTAGGTTTTAGATCCCAAACACCCAAGGGACGAACCCTAGAGAGAGAGAGCGACTTGGGAACATTCTTGGAGCTATTTTGGAGGATTTCTTCACCATTGGAGCTCGGGAATCAAGCTTGGAGATGGAGATTGAAGATCTAGATCAGATTTCTGCAGTCTCTCTCTTCTCTATGGAGTAACTTCCCTTCACTTAGGTTTTGAGAAACCCTAGTTCCATGAGTTAGGATCTTGCTTGTATGAAGTTTTGGATGCTATGTTGTTTGATTTTAATCGAATGATGCATGTTTATTGAGTCAATTGAAGTCTGATCAACTTTTCCTGATTCCTGCTGCAATCTGAGATAGATAGAATCTGATTAGGTTGCTAGAGTCTCATCATTCGGTAGTAGGAGATTGGCTATACGAGAGTTAGCCAGTGTACTGCTTTGTACTGGAATCTAATTCCAGTAGTGGAGTTCTGTTCTTACTGCTTCAGCTTTCTATCCCGGTGAAGACTAGTCGTCTGCCGGATAGTTAGACTGAGAGGGCTTGGTCAGCTTAAGAGATTCCAAGCTACTGTCGGATCTTCTGCAGTTTAATCAACAGTAAAACAACCAAAAGGAATTACAACTTGGACCTAATTGAGGAGCTAGGGGGAATCATACCTAAGTGAGTTCCCAAACTGTAATTAGTAGTTTTACTTAGTTTAGTTAGTAGAGTAGTTTAGTTAATCAATCCTTAATCTAGTTTGCTAGATAATGAACTGAAGCTGAGTAATAGTAACTCTAGAGACCCGTGGATTCGATATTTATTACTTGTACCACTATACTGCAGTCCCTTTCATTGGTTACACTTGGCCATTGTTAGGTGTTGTGTTTTAGAGCATCACTCTGCTGTTTCTGCTAAAAATAATGTGAGGGTTGGAGGTAATGCTTGAAAGTTGGGCATGTGTTGAAAAATGTGCAGAGGTGGTGGTTCTCTCAGGAAATGAAATGAAAAAAAAATGAAAAAAATGAATGAAAGCAAAAGAGAGCCACTACCAAAAATCTGAATCATGCTCATTAAGTAGTGTTTCTTAGCAGTTTGGCTTAGAAATACTAACATTATTGTGACCTCCTTCGCTCTTATGCTCTAAAGAACTCGAGTAATGTAGAATGGCAGAAAGAAAGTAAGTGGTTTGATTGCCTGTGATTGTGTTGGGTTCGGAACTGTGGAACCTTGTGCTATGAATACTTTCACCAACTAAAATGCCTTTTCCCCATGTCCAAGACCCTAGCCAGTCATCTGAACATGTGTCTAAGACCTCCAGATTAGTTAGTGGTGACACCCTATATGTGAACTCTAGCATTTAGAGGTTGCCTTCATGGTGAAAAGACATTAGGGATTGAGAGAATAAGCATGCGCATTTTTCGCATCAAATTGTCCTGACCCCACTGGTCGAGAGTGAGCGATTCATTTTATCATATTCTCTATACTCTTTACCCCGGCGAGGACCTAGATTTCTCGATCTTGATTCTGATGTCTTGAGTTTTATGCATGAGGTGACTGTCTTGAATAAGTGGTTGAGTCAAGTCTAGGTTGGTTGGTGTACAGAAGGGAGACTCTTCCTTTCCCCGATTTTGCTGCACTCGAATGTCCTCTGTGGTGGTTGTCCAAGTTGCGGTTGAAGTTGTTCATGTATTGATGTTTGAAAGCCAGTATGATTCCCTTGTTTCGTGCCTATTTACAGGCAGCCCCTGCCCATTTACGGGCATAATTGCTTCTGTCATGCCCGTAAATGCAATGCCGAGCTAAATTCTTGAGAATTCCTATCGCAGAGCAAATTACAGGCAAGAGTCAAAGCAACTACGGCGTAATTCCTCAAATACTGGCAGTAATTGGGTAATTACGACCGTAATTTCTCTCATCAGTGTTAAGTGAAACGCGCGTTTTGGGCGAATTACGGGCAGACCTTGTTTACGACCTTAATTTAGCCCGTAATTCGCCCAGAATCGGGTTTTTGAGGCAGATTCGAGCCAAAGGAGAGGGAATCAAATTTTTTGAGCAAAAATAGAGTTTTAGAGAGAGAAAGTGTGAAGAACAAACCCTATGAGCTATTTGGAGTGGATTTCTCACCATTGAAGCCCAGATTGCATCCCCAGGAGTGAAGATTGACATCCCATAGCAGATTTTCCTCATCTTTATGAGTATGACTACTCTGATTTCTGTTTTCCTCTCTCTCTCTATATGGAGTAGAACTTTCTCTCACTTGGGTATGAAGAACCCTAGTTCCATGTGTTAGGGATCTTGTTTGTAATGACTTGGGATTGTTATACTGATTGATTTTAATCGATTGATGCATGATTCATTGAGTCAATTAAAGCCTAATCATCTTTTTTCTTGATTTCTGCTGCAACCTGAGATAGATAGAATCTGATTAGGTTGTTAGAGCTTTGTACTGCTTTGTACCGGAATCCAATTCCAGTAGTGGAGTTCTGTGTTTATAGCCTCAGCTTTCTATCCCGGTGAAGACTAGTCGTCTGCCGGGTAGTTGGACTGAGAGGGCTTGGTCAGCTTAATAGATTCCAAGCTATTGCGGATCTTCCGCAGTTTAATCAACAGTTAATCAACCCAGTGTAATTACAACTGTGACCTAACTAAGGAGCTAGGGGGACTCATTCTCGAGTGACTCTTCCCTTGCTTTAGAAAACAGGATCATTTCCTGCTTTCTCACTGCTTTTACTTAAATCAACAATCACTCGACTTAGTTTCCTAGATAATAGATATTCACGGAGTAGGCAGTAGATCTAGACCCTGGGTTGATAAATAGAACTTGCCACTATTCTGCATTTCCGGACTGCGATTACACTTAGCGTGTCACTTTTTCGATAAATTGTGAGAATATGTTGGAGACATCAAACCTAACATACTCTGTTACAGGGGAAGGAGCTTACAGGGGAAGGAGATTACATACTCTGTTTCTGAATTATTAACTAAGTTACAAGGGAAGGAGCTTACATACTCTGTTTCTGAATTATTAACTAAGGTACAAGGGAACGAGCTTATGCTCGATTGGAGAAAGATGAAGTTTAGATATCAAACGATAGCGTCGTTTTTGAAGGTTGGCAGCAGATTAGTTGAAGTGGGCCTGAAAGTCTTCTGATACAAAACTCAGCCCACAGCCTTAACGTTAAAGCCCAAACAAAATCTAAACCACTTTTGTCTATTAAAAACGAAATAGTTATACAAAAATCCTCCATTGATCGAAAGATCATCCATTCTCATTCATCTGCTTTGTGTTGCTAGGGTTCTTCAGAAGGAGTTATCCAACTCACAGAAGAAGAAAATGAGGAGGAATCTTGCGCTAGATTCCACCAACACGTGGTATCAGAGCCCCGTTGCCTTTGAAAAAGGTCCACTGATCTCCTGCAGTCTCCAAAATGGCGGATGGGTTTTCACAAAATTGTCCTCCGAGATTTGAAGGAGTAAACTACGTGTATTGGAAGAATCCAATGGAGCTATTTGTTGGATCTACTAACCCGAAGCTTTTGGATAGGGTAATCAAGGGTCCACACGAGCTTAAAGCAAATCAAGAGAAGTGGTCCGATGAAGATTTTGAGAAGTTTCAGCGGAATTGCAAAGCAACCATCCTAATGTACAGTAGCGTGCTTGGTCCAGAAGAATACCACAAAGTGGCTGGATGCAAGACTGCCAAAGAATTCTGGGACAAGATGCAAGTGACCTATGAAGGTACATCACAGGTTAAGACGTCACATATAAATTCCTTAAAGCACCAGTTTGAGCTATTCAAAATGGAAGAAGGTGAAACGATCAGACAAATGTATGAGAGGTTTACAAATATTGTAAACAGTCTGGAGAATTTGGGAAAATCTTATGAGAGTGGAGATCTTGTAAGGAATATCCTTTGGAGCTTACCTGAGAAGTGGACTCCTAAGGTCACTGCCATCAAAGACGCGAAAGATCTTGAGAAGTTGGCAATTTATGAGCTAATTGGCTCTCTAACCACACATGAAAACAAACTGAACAAGACTGGCCAGGGGAAGAAAAGTGTGGAGAAGGGAAAAAGTGGGGTTGCTTTGAAGGTTACCAATTCACCAGAAGATTTAGAATAGCTCGACGAAATAGAGGATGAAGAGTTGGCACTCTTAAGCAAAAAAATAAGTCGTTTACTTAGAAATAAAAAAAGAAAAGCATCTTGGAGGTCCTGTAAATAAATCCAAGGATTATGAGAGAAATGACGGAGGTATATGACGGAGGTGCTAAGGGTTCCCAGCTAAGACACGGTCTAGAGGTGGTAGCAAATTCACCCAGAACTCAAAAAGGTGTTAATGCCTCAGGATGTTTCAAATGTGGAAGAATAGGGCACATCAAAGCTGAATGTTCACAGTTGAAGAAGGAACAAGCTCTTATAGTCACTTGGAGTTGTAGTGAAGATGAAGGAGAGGAAGATGATGAAGTTGCAATTCAAAGATCGTATATGGCCATCGCTGAAGTAGAGGAAGAAGTCACACCTTCAATCATGAACTCAAACCATGTAAGTATCTCTGAAAACTCACTTGAATCAGAATACTATAGTAACGATGATATATTCGTAGACACCATAAGAGACATTCAGACTGAGTTTGGTAATGTTAAAACCAAATATCACAAACTAAAAAGGGATAGTGATGAATATAAAAAGGATAGCAAATTTAGAATCAAGATTGGCTGCTTGTGAACTAAGTGAAATTGAACTCAGAAGCAAGGCACAAAACTTGCAAGTGGAAAAAGAGAGAGATATCAAAGTGAGTTCACACACCTCAAAAAGGAATTAAAACTTAATAAACAAAAATTACATAATCACAGGGGAAGTTACACATTTACAATTGTAAGTTCTAATGAAAATCGATGTTACTACTGTCATAAAATCGGGCATGTTATTTAAGACTTGCAATAGAAGATTGTGGTCAAAAGCAAAGAAAAATACATATAATGTATACCCTCATTGTCATTTTAGCATTCCGAATGATAGACACATTCCTAAGACTATCAAAACACAAGGACCCAAGAAAATCTAGGTACCCAAAATCAAATGAACTATTTGTTTGCAGTGTTGTCTTCAAGTGAGCATGGAAGCAACAAAAGGGATAATGTATAGTGGGTGCTCACACCATATGACAGGTAACAAATTTCTTTTCTCTACTCCGAATTTAGGAAATTTTGGGACGGTATACTTCGGTGACAACAATTCAGCAAACATAATAGGAAAGGGTCAAGTTGGAACTACTCCATCCATATAAATGTTATGTTGGTTGATGAATTAAAGCACAATCCCATGTCTATTAGTCAAATGTGTGCAAAAGACTGTAGATTCATATTTGAGACACATTAAGAATAAACAGGTAATGTTCACTTGTAAGCGAAATGGAAATATTTGCACAATAGACTTAAACGATAAAGACAGCTTCAATGAAACTTGTCTGATGAGTTTGGATAGAAGTGAACAAGACGAATGTCATAGGCGTCTTGGTCATGTAAATGTTAGCACTCTGTCAAAACTAGTCCAATTAGAACTGGTTAAGGGTCTACCTAAAATCAATGAGAAGAAGGACTTCTTTTATGATGTGTGTGATAAAGGAAAACATACTAAGTCTAGTTTTAAGAGCAAAATTGTCATTTCCACTACCAAATCTTTATTACTGCTCCACATGGATCTGTTTGGTCCAGCAAATGTGGTAAGCTATGGTGGTCAATCTTATGCTTTTGTGATAGGGTATGATTTTTCAAAATTCACCTGGGTAATATTCTTAGCTAAAAAGGATGAAGTCTTTCTAAAGTTTAAATACATGGTGAAACGTGTCGAAAATGAGAAAGAGTCAAAAGTCTGTAGCATTCGTAGTGACCACGGTGGTGAATTTTGCTCAGACCCCTTTGAATTGTTTTGCAATGATCTTGGAGTTTCTCATAATTTTTCTGCTCCTAGAACTTCTCAACAAAACGCAATCGTTGAAAGAAAAAACAGAACTCTTATTAACATAGCTTGTACCATGCTTCATGATTATGGAATTTCAAAGTACTTCTGGGCTGAAGCTATAAACATTGCGTGTCATATTCTGAATAGAGCCTTAATAAGATCAGGAATTAATAAGACCCCATATGAAATCTGGAAAGGGAGAAAACCCAATCTTTGTTATTTCCATCCTTTTAGGTGTAAGTGCTTCGTGTTGAACACAAGGGAAATCTTGGTAAATTTGACTCCAGATCAAATGAATATGTTTTCTAGGGTATTGCATGACAAGCAAGGCTTATCGAATTTTTAACAAATGGACCCTCAAAGTGGAGGAGTCTGTTAACGTGATATTTGATGAGTCCCTTGCAGCGATGGATCTAGTAGATAGTAGAGCATTGGGCCGCATTTTTTTACAAAATTAGATACCATAAAAATCATAGTTTTTTTTTTTACAATATCAATTGTACACCCAATCTTTTAGGGTATTCCTATGGTGACTTGCAAGTCACCGTAATTTGGAGAAAATGGTCGACCTCATCCATTAAGTGGTCGACCACTTTCAAAGAAAATGGTAGACCTCTTCCACCACATGGTCTACCATTTGAGTCAACCAGCCTACCGTTTTCTGAAATAGGTCAACCTGATGACACACTTACCTTCAAGTGGTCGACCTCTTCCACCAAATGGTCTACCACTTCCACCAAGTGGTCCACCATTTGAGTCAACTGGTTTACCGCTTCCAATAATGGGTCGACCTGAAGACATACTTAACTTCAAGTGGTCGACCTCTTCCACCAAGTGGTAGATCAATTTCCAAGAAAATGATCTACCACTTGAGGCAACCGGTCACAAGACAATGATAGGATAAAAAACAAGCAAAATTAGAATTTTAAAGAAAGATGAAAGTATTAATAGAATAAGTAAAATAAAAGAAATAAATATGCAGAACTTTTTCCAATTCTACGGGAGAATAATCACTCGAGAAACTTGTCATCTATGCTTCAGCTTTATACTAATTTTCAATCTTTTACTAGAAAACATATCTATTATTATTGGACACTAATTATTTATGATTATATAACTAGCAATGGTTCATGAGTTTGACCGGTTATTGAAAGCGGTGGACCGCTTGGTGGAAGTGGTAGACCACTTGATGGAAGTGGTAGACCGTTTTCTTGTAAAGTGGCCGACCTTTTAGTGGAAGAGGTCGACCGCTTGTTGAACATAACAAAATGGAAAATAGTACATCTGGTCGACCATTTCAGTAAAGAGGTCGACCATTTTGTTCAAATAGGTCGACCATATCAGTGAAGAGGTCGACCATTTTGTCCAAGTTATGGTTGCTTGCAAGTCACCATAGCAAAGTACGATCTTTTAATATAGCGAATTCCATCAATAATGGAGTCTACATCCATACAAATAGCATAATACTCTCCTTTAAATAAATAGTTAGCCAATCAGCATGAAATTCAACACTCATTTTGTTGCGCAAATCATATTTCACCTATTCCATTGTTGAAAAGGTTTTCTCCGTAGTAGTTGTTGAAACAGGAATGTCAAGACTAGACAAATCAATCGACTAATCAATTTCTATTGTGTGTTCATCGTTATTTCCACCAGCTGTTCTAGTAATTTTTCAAGGGAACAAACCTCATGGTTCTTTTAGTCTTTTACGTTTTAGACTTTTAGAATTTTATGTTACATTGTTTGTTTTTACTTAGAAGAGAATCATTGGAGCTAGAATTTCTAGGCTAAATTTAGAGTTGTGATTTGAGTATGATTACCTAACCCATTTTCTTAATTACCCACAATCTTATTATAAATAAAACTGGACCAAATGGCTAAAATCGACAAACTCATAAAAGCTATACTAGTTCTGGATCCAGAGGAGGGTTGGGCCGTGGGACGGGGTGGCCACCCCTGGATCCGCCACTAGTCCGTTGTTGAGGTTACAGATGACTTGGATGATGATGATTTTGGCCTCGTAATGATTTCAGCCTCCAACTTTAATATAGGCTCAAGTGATAAGCAGACAAGTGGAGCACAAGGGCAAGAAGACAACCACTCCTCAACTGGAGTTGACCTACACGAGAAGAACACTAACGACTGCTCCAAGGAAAAGGATGAAAATACAAGCGTGCAGCCCCCCTGCACACATCATCAAAAGGCATCCTCCGACCCAAATTATTGGATCTTTGGACCAAGGTATGACTATTGGGTCTCGAGTTATGCCCTCCTTCACTACCTTTAAGTCTCTAATTGAACCAAGAAATGTTCAAGAGGCTCTCCAGGATGAATTCTGGACAGCCGCTATGTTTTAAGAAATGCATCAATTTGAAAGAGCCAATGTGTGGGAACTAGTACCCAAACCTGAAAATAGGGTAATCATAGGTACCAGATGGATTTAAAAAAAAAATATAATGAAATAGGTATAATACTTAGATACAAAGGTAGGTTAGTAGTTAAACGCTACTATCAAGAAGAAGGGATAGACTTCGAAGAAACTTTTGTTCCGATAGCATGCTAGAATCCATTCGCATGCTGTATGCATTTGCTAGTTCTAAGGGTTTTAAATTATACCAAATGGATGTAAAGTTTTTCTTAAATGGTGATTTAAAGGAAGAAGTCTACGTCTCTCAACACCCTGGGTTTGAATATCATAGATTTCCTAATCATGTCTATAAACTTAAAAAGGCCTTATATCGTTTAAAACAGGCTCGTAGAGCCCGGTGTGATAAGCTGAGTTCCTTCCTTTTAGAAAATGGTTTTGGAAGGGGGCTTAGTGGATTAAATTTTGTTCATCAAACAAAAGAATGGACACATTTTGCTAGTTCAAGTCTATGTTGATGACATAGTCTTTGGAGCCAGTTGGGATAGGTTATGCAGAGAATTTGAAATCAAAATGAAAGTTGCCTTCGAAATGAATCTAATGGGTGAATTAAACTTCTTTCTCGGTCTTCAAATTAAGCAAACTTCTGCAGGGATTTTCATTAACCAGTCTAAATATCTAATTAATATGCTCATGAAATTTGATTTCAGAAATCTCAAGTCTGCTGTAACTCCAATGGCATCTGCCATTAAACTTGACAAGGATTAGGCTTAGCTGTGAATACCAAAACTTTATCGTGGAATGATTGGGTCCTTACTCTATCTAAATGCTAGTCATCCTGACATCATGTTTAGTGTGTGTTTGTGTGCTCGATTTCAAAAATCTCCCAAGGAAAGTCATCTGTCTGCAGTAAAACGGATTTTTAGATACTTAAGTGGGACTGCTGGCACTATTCACTATTTAAATCCTTAAAATCTTACGATTTTGCGATTCAAATCTTTGAGTCAATTTAACTTAGTTCCCCTAGAATTTGCAAAATTACGCCTCTTTTTCTTCTTTTCCACCAACATCATCTAGTTCTCTCACACTAACCGCCATGGACTATAGTCAATTCACATCAACGTATTAATCATCATCGATTCACCACCTCTTAACATTAATCTTGATAAATTGGAACATTAACCTTGAAAAATTATCATTGTAAGTGTTATGTGCTTTTGTGTTATTCATGATCTTCCTTACTAATATTATTGCGTCTTAATTATTATATGGACCTTAAAATCTTATGATTTTACGATTCAGATTTTACCCCCATTTTCTATTTTACGTAAAATCCTGATTTTGGCTGCTTTGACTGCTGATGTAACACCCTAC